CTAGATTTGGCACAGGCTTATCAACAGTTACCTGTTGATGAAGCTGCTGCTGTAGCACAAACTATTGTAACACACAGGGGGGCATTCAAAGTTAAAAGACTACAATTTGGAGTAAATGTGGCTCCTGGAATTTTCCAAAGAGTAATGGAAAATACCTTGAGGGGTATACCAGGAGTTTGCCCCTATTTTGATAATGTCTTAATTGCTGGAGATTCCACTCAATATTTAGCTGAGAGATTGAGGGCTGTCCTGCTGCGGTTCCGGAAAACAGGCCTCAAGCTTAAAAAAGACAAATGTAAAATTGGGGTGCCTTCTACATATTTTCTGGGATTCAAAATTGATGCCAATGGGATTCATCCTGCTGAGTCCAAATTAAAAGCTATCATGAAAGCTCCTAGGCCTAAGTCCAAAGCTGAACTACAAGCTTTTCTGGGCCTCTTGAATTTCTATAGTTCATTCATTCCTAACAAGGCTAATGTAGCTGAACCACTTCATAGCCTTTTGGACAAACAGGCAGTGTGGCAGTGGTCACAAGCACATGAAGCAAGCTTCAATGAGGTTAAGGCCTTACTCACATCCAATAATGTGCTTGCACATTTTAATGAAACTCTCCCTGTGTGTATCGCTTGTATGCCTCCCCTTATCGGGTGGGAGCAGTACTTAGCCACCTTAGACCTGATGGAACTCAGGTTCCTGTTCCGTATTACTCCAGAACCTTGTCTTCTGCTGAGCGAAACTACACCCAGATAGACAGGGAGACTTTAGCTGTTGTTGCTGGAATTAAAAAAATCCATGATGTTTTATATGGCAGACATTTCACGGTCTACACTGACCATAAGCCTTTGTTGGGGTTGTTTACTACAAAGAAACAAACTCCCCATATCATCTCCCCCAGGATGCTGAGATGGTCAATCTTTCTGTCAGCCTATGATTTTTCTTTAGTTCACAAACCTGGCAAAGAAATGGGCCATGCTGATGGCCTCAGTAGATTACCCTTACAAGTAGTGGAGGCTGATCCTGCCCCTGCCATCAATATCCTTTCCATTCAGGCGCTGCCTGAGTCACCTTTAAATGCCAGGGATGTGGCTGCTGAATCAGCCACAGATCTCACACTCTCTCGTGTCTTATCCTGGGTTATGTCTGGATGGCCAGAGAGTTATCCAGGTACTGAGTTTCAGAGTTTCTGGCTTAAGAAACATGAGTTATCCACTTTTCAGGGTTGCCTGCTGTGGGGCAGCAGAGTTGTTATTCCTACCTCAATGAGGTCTAGAGTCTTAGGTTCCCTTCACGAGGGTGATCCTGGCATTGTAAGAATGAAGGCGTTTGCACGCAGCCATTTGCGGTGGCATGGGTTAGACAAGGAAATTGAGGCTGAGGTGCACGCTTGCCACCTTTGTCAGCGCTCATGCCCAGAAATGCCCCAGGCTCCTGTGCATAGATGGGAGGAAACACAGTCACCTTGGTCTAGGGTGCACTTCGATTACGCTGGGGCCCTTTCCGGGTCAATTTTGATAGCTATTCAAAATGGCTTGAGGTTGTATCTGTCTCTTCAACCACCACTGCCAAGACCATTCAAGTACTGAGGGGGATTTTTGCTGCACATGGGCTTCCGGATGTGTCGGTGTCTGACAATGGCCCTCAATTCACCTCTTCCAAATTCCAAGCTTTCTTACAGGCCAACATGATTCGTCATGCCACCTCTGCACCATTCCACCTTCCACCAACGGATGGTCCGCATCACCAAGGATGCTTTAAAGAAACTGACATATGGGGACTGGCATCACAGGTTGGCAGACTTTCTTCTTGCGTACCGCACCACACCTTCAACTTCTACTGGGAAGAGCCCAGCTGAACTTTGCTGGGGGCGAAAACTGATTACTAAACTTGACCGGTTGCACCCGGACAGACTGCTTCCTAAGGTTACAGAACCCAGGGCACTGAGGCAATTGAAAGTGGGTGCCCCGGTATGGACCCATAACTACGGGTCAGGTCACTTGTGGGTTCCTGCTGTAGTATGCAAGGTTACAGGTCCTTTGTTGTACGAGGTCTCCTTGGATGACGGTCGTGACATTCGACGGCATATCGAGCAGCTGCGTACAAGACTGGACTTACCCTCAGAAACTCCTGGGCCTTTTCCAGGGGGGAGGGGGACCTCAATGGGCAAAGGGATGGGTGTTGGCAGCAGCCGGGTCCCAACAGAGAGGCCACAGAAGGCCTACTCCAAGATTCTCCAAGTGTTCCAAACAGGAATCCATGGGAACTAGGAAGCACACAGGCGCCAGTGCCTACTCCAGCCAGGGAGTCACCCAGGGGGCATACTCATCATTCACCCATACCATTCTGCACTCCAGTCAGGGAGAATAACCGGGAGCATCTAATAACTCAAACATTGCAAGAGAGCTGGCATACAACCAGTTTAATAGGCCCAGGACTGCTACTGTTTCCAGAAGGAGGTATTCACACAGGGAGGTAGCCGGAGAGGCACATCCCAATTCTGACACCTCTGGCACAGATGGGGGGGCAACTGAGTTTAGGGGAAATACTGAAACCCCAGACAGTCCCGTTACGGGACTGGGGAGCGAAGGAATGCAGGCCCCTGATAGGCCCAGTGTGGGGCTGGAAGGCACTACAGAGTTGTCTAACAGTGGCAGTCTTATAGAGGGGCCAGAGAGGTTGCAACTAGGCAGGTCAACCAGGTTATTGGGAGAACAAAGTCCTGGTCTGACGAGCCCGGTGGGCAAGCAAGCAGACCAGGCAATGGGGCACAGTCCATGGGGACCACTAGGGTCTGATAGAGGGGCCAAATCCATGTCATCCTCTAGGTAAAATGGAATTGGGGATCCTCAGGGTCTAAGGAGGTCACAGAGAGTCAAGAGATCTCCTAAGTACCTTGAGGACTTTGTAACTCTGCTGGCAAAGCAGAAACAGTGAGAAAGTGTCTGCTGTTGGGAGCAATGGAAATATGGGCATTGGGTATTAATGCCCAGAACAATAGCCCAGTACCATTGGAGCATGGGTTGGCACACCACGCTCGTGTTGAGGTCACATGTAACTATTCATATAGTTTATTAGTTTTAGCCGGGGGGGGGAAGGGGTGTTGTGTCCTGAGCCTGCAAAAGCAGGCTCGGGATGTTGCAACGGTCCCGGGCAGTTGCAAGCTGCCCGGGACCAGACTGGCTGGCGCCGGCTTCGCGTACATGTGCGAGGAGCAGAGCGCGCCAAATGTTGCCATTTGGTCCGGGGAAGAGTTCTTAAGAGAGGCAGAGAGGCCTGCATGCCTCAGAGCTGAAACGGAGCTGAGGAAACAACAATAAAGACTTCTTAACACTACGAGATGCTCTGTGATTTATTGCCATTAAGCTGAGGACTCAACAAGTATCATCTGCAAATTTGATGACTTCCCCTTCTATTCCCTCATCTAAGTCATTTATGAATACTGGGCCTAAGATGGAACCTTGTGGTACCTATCCCACTGCTTACTTCTTTCCATGTGGATGTAGTGTCATTGAGGACTACAGTTTGCTGAGTATGGTTTGCCAGCCAGCTACAGATCCATCTGGTGGTCATGTTCTCTATTCTACCTTTTTCTAGCTTACCAATGAGTCGGTTGTGGTCTATTAGCCAACAAAACCTTTTACTTACTGAGGACTACATGTTAAAAGAAAACAATGGCATTTCTTGTGAACTCTAATAGTCTCACATTATTCAACACAGCTTTTATAACAATATCATTTGTCCAGGTATGATTGCCTGTCAGTATGAATTTCAACAAAAAACTTTTCATTTTCAAGTACAAAGCTTGATTAGATGTACTGTGAATCAGTGCTCCTGAGCAATGGAGAGACAGATATGAGAGCCGCAATCCAATACAATGTTACACCCATGACAATGTTACATTTTCCTCCCCCAATGCCCCTTATTTTGCAGTAGATAACATTGTTCTGTTCTATTTGAAGTAAATCTCTGTCTGCTTAATATGCTTTTGAGAAATACCTTGCTTACACAAATTTTGCAAATTCTTTTTTTAATTCCAGTTTGAGTGGACCTATTGGCAAGGACATTTTTAAAATGTTTTCTTTACAATCTTCACATTAGTATTAAGTCACCTGGCAAAAATGTAATCAGGTAACATTAAAATATATTTAACTTTTTCCTTGCTTTTGTTTAAATTTTGCTAAAATTGATTTATTTTCAGATACAACTTCCATGCAGTGCTTCCATTGACAAGCATTTCCTTATATTTTCTTATATCAGAAAGTTATGCATATTTTTTTAGACTGCTATGATAGCTGATAAAAAATGGAAAATTGTAGAGACACCATGCAGTATTTTAATATAATAAATTACTGTCTTATAGTTTTTGCATGTAACTAAGTAAACATGGCCCACGGAAAAACATTGTTATAAAGAATTGTTTTCAAAGATAAAAATTAAAAGACATTCTTAAAAGACATTTATCTCTGTTTGTTTCTGTAAGTATTAATTTTATGATAAATAAAATAATTTATCTTTATACTGTTCCTCTGAACAGTTTTCTATGGATAGCTAATCCTTAGGACAGAAAAATCATAAATGCACAGCAGTTCTCAGCTAAGCAAAGGAGGATGAAATTTTAAAATTATTAAAACTTTCTTGCTGATGAAGATGATCACTGTCTGTTCAGTGGATCTTTAGTATTTTAAATCTCCGGTCATCCCTGAAACATCCTGTTCTACCAAAACAAATTTCTTGGGAGAATTTGGTCTTTACAGCAGGAGGTTTTCATAACTTGAGACTCACAAAGCTGAATGCAAGCTGTTACATATGTCAGTTTTCCAGTGGCTGAACATTTTCCACACCAGTTCTGAATTCTATATAATTGAATAATGCTACAGCCTAAAGTAATGAAAGGATCTTGCTTCTGCTTTTTTGCCCTATTCACATACTTCTCTTAAAATGATTAAATGATTGGAAAAATTCTGCCTAAAATGCATTGCATTAAGCATGAAGAAAGTACTTACGTGATGGTGTCAATCATATCCAATCCCATTTCAACACAGCAATGAGCATGATCAGTTTTGGGCTGGGTCAATCCTGATACACAATAGTAACAATCACCTAGGATCTTTATCCTTCTGCAATGGTTTTCCTTTAACGAAGGAAAGACAGGGAGATGAATAAAATTAGCTTAATTGAATACCATTCGCTAATAAATAATATTATTAATTATCTAACACTATTGCCTTAGTTCAGGGGTGTCAATCTGAGAAACAGGAAACTATTGTATTCTCCCAGCACATGAGCTTTTATTTATTATTTTTAAATTAATTTTATTAGTTTTCATAGGGTTAGGAATAAGGTAGGGGTTGGGGTTGGGTTTTGGGTTAGGGTTAGGAATAGGGTTGGAGTTTTTCCAAATAACATTTTCAATATTTAGCAAACAGCATAATGTCTGGATTCATATGTTTAATAAACAATAATAGATAATAGTTAATTATCATAAACAATATGTTAATTAATTGCTCAATAGTCTTATTCTTGCTAATATATATTCAAAGTTACATACCACATTCCTTTCTCTCTAACTCAGTGGTTCTCAACCTGTGGGTCGCGACCCCATTTGGGGTCAAACGACCATTTCACGGGGGTCGCCAAACAAGGCTGTCCGCCATTTTTTCCCCCATTTTCCCCCTTTCCTTTAGCTGTGCTACTCCCTCTTATTCTATTGGCTTTTGAAAGCCAATAGAATAGACTCTCTTGAATAGAGTCTAATTGTATTGCCTTTCAAAAGCCAATAGGAATTGTCCAGGCTGTCTCTGCCCTGCTGAGACCGCCAAAAGCCCCAGTCTGCAAACGGTGCTGCAAGGAAAGCTTCCCTCCTTGCTGAGCAATTACTAAAAGTTAAGTAAAAGAGGGCCAGGGGTGGGAGGCCGGCGTGTGCAGGGAGGGTTTCTGGCACGTGTGGGGCCTGGCGGGTGCCTTACCTGCCTGGGCTGGGCCAGCTGATGGCTCAGCCGGTGGTCGCCCTGCGCTGTTGCTGCCACTTGCCGTGCCAGCCCAGGAGCACCTGGGCCTGCCTGCTGCCGCCCCGAATGGGTGGCGGACAAGGTAAGGCTAGTGGGGCAGCGGCAGGCGCAGGGAAGGTTTCTGGCACGTGTGGGGCCTGGCAGGTGCCTTACCTGCCTGGGCTGGACCAGCTGGTGGCCCAGCCGGTGGTCGCCCTGCACCGTCGCTGCTGCTTGCCGTGGCCGCCCAGGAGTGCCTGGGCCTGCCTGCCACCGCCCTGAATGGGCAGCGGCCAAGGTAAGGCTAGCGGGGCAGCGGCAGGCACAGGGAGGGTTTCTGGCATGCGTGGGGCCCGGCGGGTGCCTTATCTGCCTGGGCTGGGCCAGCTGGTGGCCCAGCTGGTGGTTGCCCTGCGCCGTCGCTGCCCCTTGCCAGCTAGGCCTCGGCTGGCACAGGGGGGCGGCATTATGCATGCGCGGCGCTCCCGAGCAGGGAAAGTCCTCGACTTACAACCGGTTGGGTAGTCCTCAACTTACGACCGGTTGGGGTCACGGCATTAAACAGGTTGAGAACCACTGCTCTAACTCGTTTTTCTAGTCATTGATAGAAATTATCCTATGTTCTAAAATTTCTCTATCTCTTTTATCTTTAAAGTCAATTTATCCATTTCTGCACACTCTAAAATTTTATTAATTAGTACTTCTTCAGTTGGTAAATTTTCATTTTTCCAATGTTGAGCAAATACAATTCTTGCTGCCATTAGTACATGTAGTATTAAATATATGCAATCTTTCTCAAAATTTGCTCCTATTATTCCTAAGAAAAGTAATTCTGGCTTAAAGTCTATTTGTTTTTTAGTCATTTTCTTCAACCATAAATGTATTTTAACCCAAAATCTTTTTGCTTTAGGGCATGTCCACCAGATATGATAATAAGTACCTGGTCTTTGTTTGCATTTCCAACAGTTGTTTGAAGTATTTTTAAACATTTTTGCTAATCTCACTGGTCAGCTAGAGTTCGTAATGCATTGTTTACACAAGCTTGTGGTGAAATGTACACAGTAATTAGTAGAAATGAGGAAAACTCTCATGGACAATAAAATTGTCTGTCTGCTCTTTGTACCTGAAACCCTAGATATGCAAGCCTCTTTCATCAATCGAGTCATTAAGCCAGGTTTCAGTGAAGCAGAGGGTGCTGAGTTGTAAAAATCAGAGTTGCCTCTGTTTAAAAGAAGTATTTCATCCATCTTATTAGCAAGTGAACGTAGATTAGTTAGAAAGATTGAAGGAAGAGGAGTTTTTGTTCCACTTTTCCTTAGTCTATTCAAAATCCCCGCTCTCTTACCTCTTCTTTGTCTATACCGTTTTCTCCTTTTGTTTACATTACTCCACTGTTCAGGAGAAGATGCTTCTTCCTGTATTAGAATCTCTTCAGCATTTGTAAAAAAGGGGGGAGGTGAAGTCACAGAAAGCTACTCATTAAAAAAAGATTAATTGATGCTTAATAGATGTTCTCTCAAGTATAAAATTTGAAGTGAGTCACAGAGAATAATAAAAAAATAACAAAACTATCAGAGAGCATTTCACCGAGGCTGTCGTCAATGAAACTTCATAATCAGAAAAATACCTAGCAAATTGCTAATTAAGAATATTAAAGAAATCTTTCTGAAAATTCTATACTCTCTCCAACCATTTGTCCATCTATCTAAAACTTTGTAGGACTATGCTGCTATCCTGTCTGTACAGCTATCACCCAGTAACCTGGACAGGGATGGACTGCTGACTTTCCAAAGGTAATTGTAATAAGGGCAATTGCAGTAGGAAATCAGCAAACTGCAATGGATTGCTGACAAAAAGGAAGACAATGTACTGTTTTCTTTCTTTTTTCGTTTTACTGAACAAGCAAATTGTGGCAGAGGAAACAGCCCATTTTTCCCCATTCCAGGATCCTGCTCAAAATCATAGAGGTTTAGCTAATTTAAAGCATTTGCCATATAACCAAGTTTAAAATTCACCTTTTTCATATTTGAAAAGTATATATAGGCAGGTCAATGGAGAGAGAACTCAGAACTGCTGGGCAGAGGAGAGGAATAGTTGGCTTATGCATGTGGTGTGGCAACTTGCACAGAAAAATTACCGTATATTCCGGTGTATAAGACGACTGGGCATATAAGACGACCCCCAACTTTTGAGAAGATTTTCGGGCTTTAGAAAGTCATCTTATATGCCGAAAATACAGTACAATATTGAATTTCTGTTTATAGATGAGCACAATAGGAGCTCCTTTGCTGCTAGAAAGCTTTGTCCTGCTAGTGCTTATTTCTGTAAAAAAATAGGGCTGGCCACTAGGGGGCAGATTGGTTTTAAATTCGGAGAACAGCTACCAGTATATTCCTGCGTATAACACGACCCCTGACTTTTGAGAAGATTTTCAGGCTTTAGAAAGTCGTCTTATACACCAGAAAATACGGTACCTATCCATAACAGAATAACAGAGTAGGAAGGGACCTTGGAGATTTTGTAGGCCAATTCCCTGCTGAAGCAGGAGACCCATTACCAGAAATTGGCTGTCCAATTTCTTCTCAAAATCCTTCAGTGATGGAGCACCCACAACTTCTGAAGGCAAATTGTTCTTCTGATTGATTGTTCTGTCAGGAAATGTCTCCTTATTTCCAAGTTGGATCTCTCCTTAATCAGTTTTCATCCATTGCTTCTTGCACTGCCTTCAGGTGCTTTGGAGAATAGATTGACTCCCTCTTGTTTGTGGCAGCCCCTTAGATATTGGAAGATTACTATCATGTCACTCCAAGCCCTTCTGTATTTTAGACTAGACATACCCAATTTCTGCAGCTATTCTTCATGTGCTTTGACCTCCAGTTAGCTACTCCTCTTTGTTGTTCTTTGCACTCTTTTTAGAGTCTAAAATTTTTTTTTGAATGTGGTCTTGGCTTCTTCATAGCAGAACGGGTGCAGGAAAATGGGGCTCTGTCTTTCGTGTTCGATTTCACCCCATTAGGGACCCTAGAAAGGGTTAAACATTGCCCTGTAGAGATGACGAGCAAGGAGGGGTCCCTCATTGATCATGGGAGGGTGGCAGCCCTTCTGTTTGATCCAAGGATGCCCTCCAAACCGGTGGGGGAAAGACTGGCTACATTTGTGTAGCCAGTCAGAAGCTGCTGACAACCGAAGAAAATAAGCACCAACAAGCAACTTTTCAGAAACATGGATGAAACTGGGTGAGACTTTATCCTCTCTTTATCATTCTAAGACTTTTTCCTGGAAAAAAATTCCCAAAGCACCTTTCCCAATGAGAGAGGAATTTCCATTCCCTCAGAAAAAAGAAAAGCAGCGAATTAATTGCTTGGGGGAAAACAAAGAAAATTACAAGATTAACTTGGAATTAATACACATATATGGCTTTGAAATTTGGGGACTAAAAGTGCTTTTGAGATTTTTTTTAAAAAAGTCTTGAAAAACTGGTAATATAAATTTGAATTTAAAAAGCTGGAAAATGGCATTAATGACATCTAGTGGCGAATTACAGCACTAAAATTTGTTATGCTTGAAGAAAACTTGGCTTGAAGCCCAGATTCAGATAAGACCCTCGCTGTCCTTGAAAACTTTCACTTTTGAAGACTACAGCTAGATAAAGGGATTTTTTTTAAAAAAAACAACAACTCTTGTCTACTTATCAGTGTGGCAGAGACGTTGAACTACCTTGAAACTGGCCTGACTGAACCATGAATATAAATATTAACTGACTTTCAGAGCTGTGTTGTGGAACTATTTCCCTGCAGGAGAAACACACACCATTGCTTGAGATGATGGAATATTTTGGGTTATAAATCTTTGATGAACAATTTTTACTATAAAGACCATCTACAAAAAATAGAACAGATGTCCCATACTCAGCTTTAAATGGTAAAAAAACATCCCTAACACTTGTCTCCAAAGTCTTCAGTTTAATATACCATGAAGAAAATATAGATGAAGATCAGAAAGAAATTCTCTCCACGTTGAAATCAATACAAAAGACTTTAGGTCATGATGAGACTAAAAACAACACAAAGGAGATAAAAGAACAATTTTCTAATCTGAATTTACAAACCCAGAAAATGACTACAAAGAAGGAACTAGCAACCCA